CGGAGCCTTATCGCGTTCGAAAAAAGACAGACAAGGGTCAAAATAAGAAATCTCGAGTACGAACCCAAAGACTTCAAATTTACTGACTTTTTTACTTTAAAAACCTCTACCCCAGTATATCCCGTATATACATAAGTGATATTTCATTATCCTGCAATGTATGTTTACTTGGGTTTGAATATATATAATCAATGTCTGTATATATACATAAGGGAAAGGGCCACCTAAGTTGGATCATTTTTGCCCAATCCCGTTGACCATATATGTCAATAAAATATGTTTAAAACAAGGTTGGAAATAGAAACGTTTTGATGAAACCTGCGCGTGAGACCCTTACGCAGTGAATATCCCTAACTATTATTTGAGGCCGATTTTACAGCAAGGTGGAACTTTACAAAGCCAGTTGGTCTTTATTCACAACACTATGTACTGAAAAACTAAAACATGACAGTTGTTCCTGATCCTATACAACTATTTCCAGATTAATTAAATGCTATTGGAGACGAAAGCATTCCTGAGTCCTCTGCAAACCCTCATATATGTAAACCATGGTGTGATAATGATTGTAAACATGCTAGAAAAAATAGGAAGAAAACTGAGAAATATTTCCGCCGACACCCTACTGTGCACAATCTGAATGATGTGAAAATCACAAGCACAAGGCGAGACAGTCCTTTAATCACAATAAACGTCACTCCAGGAGAAACTATGTATCTAAAATTAATTCTCGCACACCCATGTCCAAGGTGCGAAGCATGATTCTGAATCAAAAGATTAAGGGCAAAGAATCAAAATCTGGAGTTCACCATCTCAAAGATGGTAAAACACTATTAACCACTAAATCAGAAATTGCCAACAAACTTGGTGAAACTTTGGCAAACCATTCCTCATCTTCTAACTCTAACCTTCACTTTCAAAGATACCAAAAACAGCAAGGAAACAAAAAGGTCAATTCTTACTCTGATAATGGCGTGGACAACAATGAAACATTTTCACTCCATGAACTGCACACTGCTCTAGGGCAAGCTCATGACACTGCAGCAGGAGCCGACAACATTCAGTATCAGATCTTGAAACACTTGCCCGATTAATGTTTGGTAACTCTTCTAATATATTGGATGAAATATGGACAATCCAAAATTTTCCTCCTTCGTTTCACAATGATATTATCATTCTGTTACCAAAGCCTGGACGGGATCACACAGATCCGTCCAATTACCCTCCAATAGTATCTACGAGCTGTGTTTGTAAAACCATGGAGTGCACAGCCAAAAATCGTTTAGTCTCGTACTTGGAGATCAATAACCTCCTAAGTGGCATCCAGTATGGTTTACGAAAAGATAAAAGTACCATTGACCGTTTGGTACGTTTAGAATTATTCGTAAAAAAATCCATTCCATCGTCACCAAACAACATACTGTATCAATCTTTTTTTTTATCCTGGGAAGGCATATGATGGAAACATGGTATTTTTAAAGATTTGCATGAATTTGGATTGTGGGGCAGATTACCTCACTTCATACCACAGTTATTAAACAACAGACAATTTCAAGTACGAGTGGACCTACCCTGTCTGATAAGGGCGTCACTCAAGGCAGCATCCTATGTCACTCTATTTAGCATAAATATTGATAGTCTCTCTAAAGTGGTGAACACCTGCGTTGATGGGTCAGTTTTGGGGTCAAGACATGATGAGGTTGTTTTCCTACGATTTCGTATTGGGCACAGTCAGTTTTCCCGCTAATATCTGCTTAAAACAAATGAGGACGAACCTCCTAAGTGCATCCCTTGTGATGAAAGGTTCACAGTCAAGCATAATTTGTTTGACAGTGTGGACTTTGCAATCGCAAGAGATTCACATTATCAAAGAGTTAACCTGAAATATCTTTTGTTCCCGTGTGTGCGTGCATCTCATCCTAAGCTAATTGAAAGAAATTGATCTGTGTCATAAATTTTAATTCTGTATATGAATACCTAATTGCTCGTTTTAATATTCGGGGTGATGCTCTTATCGAAGGCTCTGTCCAGGAGGTTAAAGTACTGCAAGATGATTGCACCACCTGTGTGACATGCAATTCCTATCATAAATCAATGTTGCTATCATCCACCAGTGTTTTAAAAAGCCAACTCGTCGCGGAGCAGTTTTTAATATTGGCTAGTATTTTCCATAACCACCAGTAGCTTAAATGATGTCGTGAATCCTGCGGGGGGCTTCGTGCAGGAAGCTGGGGCACCACAAGTCCCCATGATACCAAGCGAAGTATCCCAGCTTTGGCTGCTGGTGGCTTATTTTAAAACAGTTGCAAATATTATTGTTATGCTAAAATATGTTTGACAAATTTGTTCTTAAATATAATTTTGATTTCAGGACTCAAATGTATAATATATATCAGCTCGTCGCTATATGGCTGAAATAATGCCGATGCGGCGTTACATTTTAACTCACTCACTCATTCTAACTGCGTACACACGAAAACCAATTGTCAATACAAGACTGGTTTGGTTGGAAGCAATCATAATATATTGGGGTCAAAACTCAAGATCTCAAATTATTTCCTTTTCGAAATGTCCCTTAAGGTGTAACACACCAAAAGAACCAGGAAGAATGTGAATTTGTAGTCAATTTGTAGTTTAAAGTATTAAAAACCAATAAAAAGCATTTGTTTTCCTTGTCCAGTTCATTTCAACACTGCGCACTTAGATCTTCAAAAAAGGAATTTTGTGTTTTGTGGGTCTTAAACAAGTCTCAATATCATTAACGGGAACCTGATCAAAGTTACACCACCCTTTGAATATATGATGTCATTCCGTTATGGATGATTGGTCACGTGGAAAACGTTTGATCCGAGTTACGTCAATAGGCAAAATTCCGGCTATAAACGACGAAGCAATTCATGTATGATATGAACTCATTCAACCAGACTTCTAGATTTAAGGAAAATATCAATTACGTAATTTCAAAACGCACTACTGAGAATGACTTCAGGATGAAATTCGTCGCCGATAGCATGCTGTTGCTAGAAGGATATGGGGTATAAAGACCAGGAGAATTCAGGACGTCAGAGTGAGTGAGTGAGTTTTTCACGCCGCTTTGAACAATATTCAAGTTAAATCGCAGCGTGTCAGCTTAATGTGTGAGGAAAGCCCGAGGTGACGCATGTCTCCGGCGTTTACCACTTCGGTGAAACCAACGACCACGGGTATGGTGCTGACAAACCTAGAAACATAATCGGGGCGAACAGGGATTCGAACCCCCAATCAAGGGTTTCTGGCGTGCCCAAGGGACGCAACTAGCGCCTTAGACGACGGGGCCACCCGTGCCCCCTAGTTCTTCCGAAGTATTGGCTGAGATGGACGAGGTGTTCAAGGCAGATAAACAAGTATACTTGCGACACGAGATTGATCTCCCTTGTTTAAAAGCCGCCGTCGTATGGCGGGACACTGCTGTGCGACGTCAGGACAAACACTGTTCTTTTTTATGCAAATTAAGTGTATGGCGAGTGTTCCCGGTAAGACAAGCCATGCTTCGCATTTCGAGAACACCTGGCGTCATCACCGATTTGCAGTGATCTATCCACATAATTTTTGCAGCTATTTTGGCTTTTACGTCAATGGAATATGTTTCGACAGACAATCGAGACTGATTATTCAAGATAAAGACTGTGCATGCACGCGCGAGGACCGTGTGTGAGTATGTGTGCGCGCGCTTGTAATACTATAAGGGTAACGACGAAGGAGGGCAGTTGAAAAGACCGAGGGCTTCTACAAATGATAATGCCCTGGAAAATAGCGTTATCGTTATTATAGCTAAAATTGATAGAATTTGTGAGCAAATAAAGATAAACACCAATATCGGTTTTGAAACATTTAATGCAATCAACACGAATGTCACTGAACCACTTTTACAAATATGGAAACGTCATAGAACAAACCTGAAGACGTCACTATTGGACGTGACGTCACCTATCCCTATCCCTATGACGTCATCTAACAACGTTAACGGGCGTGATAATGGCCCGTCGTCAAGCAATATGAGGGCATTATCAAGTTACAGTGGCCCGCTCATTTCTGATAACAGGTGGGCGGTTTAATGATAATTCTATCCATTTTAGCTATAAATTTTATTATCACACGTCCTTGTACATTTGAGGACATGATACAAATCTCCATGTGTGTCCCTCAGAATAAACAAGATCGATTTTACAACCATATCTAGTTGATTGACCTGGTATATCCGAGACTATAACATTTTACACATGTACACAGATGCTATAACATGACCAGGGCATGATTGTATAGTGTATTGCATACAACAAGGGTATGTTGAAAACATAGTTTACACTTTACATAAGGTCTATTATATACAAGGTTATGTTGAAGATATAGTGCATTTTGTAATGTAATTTTAATTTGTAATTTTAAGACAATAATAAATTGCAATTTTATAAAATCCTCGCCCAATTTTCGAAACCTTTTCTCCAGACTTTACATCTCATCCTCAACCCACAAACACGTGACAATTTCAGCGAATGCCTTTTTGAACTTTTTGAGAACTTTGAACCCCCAAAGGTCAAACACATAAAAAAAAATTAAAAAAAGATTAAAAGTGAATTCAAACATTTCCTTCAAACCGTAGCCACCATTTTACACCTAGCGAAAATGTGTATTTCCCCAAATATTTAAAATCTTTTCTAATTGCCCTTACTTCCTGCATAATGAAAAACTGAATGGTGCTCGCCCCCAACTCTCCACTGACATTTTCCCCTGCAACGACGTGAGTTTCTAAAGGATAAGTATACATACTTCCCCTTGCAAACACCTACAAGTAGGCGATGCTTCCTCACAGGGGATTATCCTCCCAATCCAACTGCTTACATCTGCGTTAACCACCAACCCCATTGTTTGACCCCCCTTTATTCCCAGTCCGTGACATCCCCCTCTCTTGTAAGATAAGCTCACTTGAGCCTTTGAACTAAAGCCGCGTGCTGATATGTCTGAGGTTTACGCATCTTCGGGGTGATTTTTTCTGTGATGTCACAAATGAGCAAAAACTAGCGAAGCAGGTGTGCGTTTACCCTTGTCTCTGCACTCAAGTTATAATGGTGAGTTAGAATCTAATCCCGAGCTTTTAATAGTATGATTTACTAAACTGTTCACGAAAAACTGTTTGCATTTGCGGAGGCTGGTCAACCGCTGGTGTATTTCATCATATACGCATTATAATCAGCGTTAGGAAGGCAGGGTTTGAATCATTCAGTGTTTAGTTTCAAGAAATGTTATCATTTGTAATTGGACTAAACTATACCTATAACATTAATGTTTTCGACACATTATGTCATGGTATGCGTATAGGAGGTGGGAGTTAATAAATGCAAATTGTGTGAGTGGCGGGTGCTACCAGTCGAGCAGGAAATGCTCACCCTTTGCGCGAACACCTGGTGTCATCACTGATTTCCAGTGTTCCATTCATATATTTTTTAACTGCTTTTTGGCCGTATACGCCCAGTGGAATATGTTGTTCTCAGGCGCTGGCGTTCTATAGTTGTAGACTATGTAGTTTTAAACGCAGGATGCATCACGTCATTTATTTGCCTTGGCCACATGGAAGCATTATTGTTATTACTGGTTTCAGCTCAGACAATATAAATATTTCAGAGATGCATTAACAATATTCGTCCGAATAAACATCAATACGTGTCGTTATAACGAAATATGGTAGGCTGGTGTTTAAAGGGTACTTTCGTCTCGCCGAAGGCCCGGGCTCGATTCTTTTACGTTACTTATGGTATAACTAAAAGCGGCGTTATCTATACGCCTCACGCGCTCACATTAGTTACATAGTTCGCAATTTGGCTTTCAATATCAATTGTTTGCAAATATGTATCTAACTTTAACTTATGTTAACTGTCGGCAAAAGAAAGTATACTTCCATGTTTCATGATGGCTAAAATGAAATGGTTATTCGACGGCGATGTATTTGATCACAGCTGTGTTTTTGACCTTTAGTTTGTAGTGTTTCGGCGACTGGCTTCAGCCTATGAACGTATGTATTATTTTAGACATAGTTTGAAGTCCAATTGATGTTTGAACCTTCATAGACTGGGGGCAAAAGTGTGTATGAACGCAGGAGCTTGCGCGGTGGGGTGGCCTAGTAATTAAAGCGCTCGCTCCTCACGCCGTCGGCCCGCCGTGATATTGCTGGAATATTGCTAAAAGCGGCGTAATACAATACTCAGTCACACACAGTCAGTAATATAGTAATAATTCACTCATTCACTCACTCACTCACTCACTCACTCACGCACGCACGCACGCACGCACGCACGCACGCACGCACGCACGCACTCACTCACTCACTCACTCACTCACGCACGCACTCACTCATGGATGATTGTGTGGCTTCGACTTTCGTGCCTAATAGCGTACTCATTCTGTGGCTTAAACACATTAACCTGAAACATGTTCTATTTGCAGGAGCCCAACTCTATACGCATGGTCTGCAACTTAGTCTGTATATTCTTCCTGGCACGCCACGTGTGTGACAGTAGGCAGGTGCGATACCGGAATATAGGAGACCGGTACGGGCTGTTTCTCTTCCTTATTCCTAATCGTTACATCAACTCTACACTTGGACCAGAGACATATGGCTGGCTGGTCAGGAGGTATGGTCAAGCTACAGTGGACAGGGCGAATATACTCCCAGCACGTAAGTTGCCTTATTTAGTTCCCTTCCGTCTCAGAGGGGGCACGGGTGGCCGAGTAGTTTAAGGCGCCGCCATTCGCTGTGCAGAGTTGAGTCCCTTTGGCACGCCAGAAACCTATGATTGTGGGTTCGAATCCCGGTTCGCCCCGATTATGTTTCTAGGTTTGTCAGCAAGTGGTGAACATCTGAGACCTGCATCACTTCGGGCTTTCCTCCCACATTAAGCTAACATGCCGCGAGTAACTGGAATGATGTTAAAGGCGGCGTTAAACCCAACTCACTCCGTCTCATTGGCAAACGGCGCCACATTTCACTTTTACCGATAAAAGTCTCATTGCGAATTACCTGAACATACAATATTCTTGTCTGATTAAGTATGTAGATGTTTTCATGTTTCTAACTTTCTCAGAAAAAGATTAAATACAACCGCCCTCTCTTATCTCCCATTCCCGCTCTCCCTTTATTAAGAGCAAAAACACTATGGTACCCCCCCCCCCCCCCCCCCCCCCCATTCTCTAACGTTCACCCCCTCCAGAAATTCTCTCTCTCACTCTCTTACGTCTACCCACTCTAGAATCACCCTCTCTCATTCTCTAGAATCCCCTTTCTCATTCCCTAACGTCCATCCATCTTCTCTCATTCTTTAATGTCCATCCACTCTAGAAACACCTTCTCTCATTCTCTTAGGTCCACCGACTCCAGAATCCCCCTTCTCTCATTCTCTTACATCCATCCACTCTGGAATCCCCTGTCTCATTCTTTAACGTCCACATACTCTAGAATCCCCTGTCTCATTCTCTCATGTCCACCGACTCTACAATCCTCTCTCTCATTCTCTAACGTCCAGCGACTCAAGAATCCCCCTTCTCTCATTCTCTAACGTCCATCCACTCTAGAATCCCCTTCTCTCATTCTCTAACGTCCATCCACTCTAGAATCCCCTTCTCTCATTCTCTAACGTCCATCCACTCTAGAATCCCCTTCTCTCATTCTCTAACGTCCATCCACTCTAGAATCCCCTTCTCTCATTCTCTAACGTCCATCCACTCTAGAATCCCCTTCTCTCATTCTCTAACGTCCATCCACTCTAGAATCCCCTTCTCTCATTCTCTAACGTCCATCCACTCTAGAATCTCCTTTCTCATTCTCTAACGACCACCGTCTCTTGAATCCCCTTTCTTTCATTCTCTTACGTCCACAGACTCTAGAAGTTCCTTTCTCATTCTCTAACGCCCATCCACTCAAGAATCCCCTCTCTTATTGTCTTACGTTCAACCATTATACAATCTCCCTTCTGTCTTTATACACCTGGAAATTTATTAAACGCTACCTAAATAAAATGTCAAAGAATGATAAGTTTTGACAATGAGACAGATGTATATTTATTATATGATATTTATGTATTAGATAGTGACCCTTTTCTCATACCAGAAAGAGCCATTTCAACCAGAACTACCAGAAATCGTCTAAAAACTGCCTGATACAAAGCTAGAAGACCAATCCAACGTCCCTTTTTAAATCAGGTCCCTAAATCGGTTCGTTTGGTTTGATCTAATCAGCGTCGAAACTGAAATATGGAGTCCATTTTTCTGATGAAAGTCAGATTCTGTTACACATGTTACACGTGTCTGGAGGCAAGCAAATACAGTCGTGACTGTACACAACATATAGAGACCCAATCATTTGGTTGAAATCGATAATAGTATTGGTATGTGTTTCATTTAATTGTTAACTTGACTTGATCACTGTGCATGGAAATCTTGACGTATCTCGATATCATCTTCATGGATGATAATGCTACGCCTCATAGATCACGTGCTGTTCTGGAATGCTTACGTCAGAATGCCATTGAGACACATCCTTAGCCACAAGTACAGATCTTAATCCAATAGAACATATTGGAGATATTTTAGGCCATCAGGTCGACAAAGACCCGTGCACCTTTCCAAACTTATGTGAACTTGCTGCTGCTCTGCATGCGGAGTGGGCTAGAATACCTCAATGTCAAGTACAACGTCTGATTCATGGAGTGTGGAGGCATCTGTCGGCAGTCGATCGTGTATTGACGAGAACTGCATTTCTTGTATCTGCTGAAACTGGTTTAGGGTTCCGTTAATACAAACTGGTTTGGGGCTGTTCAGTATAGTAATTCCCACTTTGTGTTTGGTGAAAATAACGTGGTTTTTTTCAAAATGCGAATCATTCATGATAGCAAATATTATTGTTCCAATTCAAACCCTTGTATTCTGCATGATTGTTGACTCTGTTAGCAGTAAACATGGGATAATGTTAGCTCGAACTTTTTTTGCACGAGGCCGCAAGTAAATTGACTCATTCATGAAAATAAGGGTGGTGCTTTATTAATTTCCAGGTGTATATACCGTTTAACCACTCTAGAATTTCCCTCTCTTATTCTGTAACAGTCACATAATCTGTGATCTCACCCTTATATTCTCTACCAGATGGTTTCCCTCATTCTGTAAGTCACATACTCTCGGAACTCCCACTCTCATTCTATATAAGGATCACATACCCCATGGTTTTCATTTTTCTGACGTCGCTCTACCGCTTGTCTCGGGTGTGGGGAACACACTAGTGTAAGAGTACTATTCTCAGCCGTTTACCCCCTAGACCTTCTCACCATGGCCTATCATCCTCCCTAATCCTTTCATTAAAGCTGTGTGTGAGGTGTAATCTGTTGCTTCTCTAGGCCACAGGCGCCATGGAAGTCTATTACAGACAGGACATTGTTAACCCACGTGAACGAGATACAGCCCAAAGGGTTTTATGTACTTCTAAAATTTGGTTTTAGATTTATCGAAAAAAGTCTTTTAATGGAAAATATATTTTTCCAGATATTTTCGTAGAGCATTTACTGGCGTGACATGAATACAGGCAATGTCGTGGCAATCATGAGTACCGCAGTTCACCCAACATGCTCCCTCCACGAAGACCGTTTGAGAAAGTGATTTGAAATATGGTACTTCGTCGCGTTCAAGATTAAAACTCTTATATGCGGCACTTATATTCCGGAGTTCTGCTAGTTTATAGTACTAGCCCACTGAAATACCATGCCGCAGTTTAACATGAATACCCCTCTCAGACACAGTTTACTGACTCCGAGCAGAACAGTCCTTGGTTTATCCCCATAACGCCGACGCAGGCAGGGTAACAACAAGCACCATCTTTTAACGTCGTTTGGTATGACGCGACCGGGACTCGAACCGCCAACCTTCCGCTCCCCGGGAAGACGCTCTATCTGCTAGACGATCACGGTTATGGCATTCAAGGCCTTCGTAAAGCTCTCAAAACAGTTTCACGGTAGACATGTGGAGGACATTTGATAATTGGTCACATTAGTGAGCTGCAGGAATATTGCTCGACATTAAGGGGAAGTTGACGTTCGGAAAGTTGAAGTCACCCCTCTTGCCATGCAGTCTTGTGGGGAGTGTTTTGTCACCCTGAATCTTTATGCATGAAGCTTAATATAAAACAGATGGAGCGGTCTCACTGGTCTCCTTTATTTCTGACTCATAAGGGTAAATCAGCAGAAGGGAATTGGTTATTTGATGGTTATTGAAAGTCTTTTCTTGATTGTATTAAGGAGTACAATGTATGGTTAATCTTTGAGATAGGGATTTAGTGTCAAGTCAAAAGTTGACAGTACTGATGCATGGTTTTGGCAGATTTCTCCCCCAGTTACCATACTAACCTTATATGAAGCATTATGTGAAATGTCACTTTTACCAATTTCTTTGATCAAACAGTCAATGTAGTGGTGCTTACATATAATGGTTGTGTTATCTGTTGGTGGTAACAACTACAACACTTTTCATGTAGGGCAGCCAGACTTAGGATGACATCTGACTGGGGCCGAATGGGTTTGTTCCATTACTGCTTCCTCTGTTTCAGTTTGTGCATTCTACCAATGACAACATCATATCACGCACTGATTATCATTTATCATCAAAAGATGATATTTAGGGAGGGATATCAGCCTGTTTATATTAATGCATGTGCTTGTGACGCTGAGTGCGATTATGCTGTTACGTGGGTATGTTTACAAGTTGTCTTGGGGTGTTTCTGTTTCTGTGTCTCTCAAGTGATAACGTATTGGTAGTTTGTTCGCGAAATTTATTTTTTGGGGTTATTGTTGGAATAATGGCTTAGTGGAAGCCACACTGTATCACTCTCGGCGTATGTGCATGAAAGGTATCACGTGTAATAGACAAACGGAATACGTACAAATGTTATGTCAGGCTATCAGTGTATGGCTACAAGCGTGGAACGGAGAATATAGTCGGGTTGTGTGAGTGTCGGGTTATGTGAGTGTCGGGTTATGTGAGTGTCGGGTTATGCGAGTGAAGGGCTGTGTGAGTGTCGGGTTGTGTGAGTGTCGGGTTATGTGAGTGTCGGGTTATGCGAGTGAAGGGTTGTGTGAGCGGCGGGATATGTGAGTGTCGGATTATGTGAGTGTCGGGGTGTGTGAGTGGCGGGATATGTGAGTGTCGGGTTATGTGAGCGTTGGGTTGTGTGAGTGTCGGGTTGTGTGAGTGTCGGGTTATGTTAGTGTCGAGTTATGTTAGTGTCGGGTTTTGTGAGTGTCGGGTTATGTGAGTACCAGGTTATGAGAGTGAAGGGTTGTGTGAGTGGCGGGATATGTGAGTGGCGGGTTATATGAGTGGCGGGGTGTGTGAGTGGCGGGTTATATGAGCGTCGGGTTATGCGAGCGAAGGGTTGTGTGAGTATCGGGTTGTGTGAGCGTCGGGTTATGGGAGTGGCGGGGTGTGTGAGTGGCGGGTTATATGAGTGAAGGGTTGAGTGAGTGGCGGGATATGCGAGCGTCGGGGTATGTGAGTGGCGGGATATATGAGTGGTGGGATATGTGAGTGTCGGGCTATGTTAGTGTCGGGCTATGTTAGTGTCGGGCTATCTGAGTGTCGGGTTATGTGAGCGTCGGGGCGTGTGAGGGGCGGGGTGTGTGAGTGGCGGGTTATATGAGT